CCATGTGTTCTCATCTGAAGGACTCCATTCTACATTCACCTCAGTTCCCCCAGGGCCACGACGGCACAGCTGCAAGGAAGCCTGAACACACTGCTCTTTAATTCCCTTTCTTGTCTCCTCTTTACCTTCCATATTAACTTCAAACTATGCTTCCTTACCTAACAAGGCCAGGCAAAACTCTGCTCCAGCCTATACCTCAGGTTCCAGTTCCTCGTGGGTCCCCCAGTTCCCTTATTTTGCTAGCGATGGTAAGCTTGGTGTCCCTGTTGTGTTCTTGAAGCAGGGAGCCTCAGGTCACACTGAAATTCTTTTAACTGTTCTATCATCAACAGGTATTACTAGGTGACTTTCTGTGGTCTGTTAGATGCTAACTCATTGTGGTCTTTATATGTACTTGCATGCACAAAATAAGTAAGGGATGACGGTCAGCTGCATGTCTCACTCAGATTCTCTAAATTATATTGATCTTTGTGCTTTTGTAGTCAACCCTTTACCTGATAGATAAATGTAGCATCCACAAAATGTCACCATCCCACACTACTTTCTGCCTCTTTCTTGCCTACTGATGTGCACCAGGACCCAGTTCAACAAGGCTTCCCCCACTCCTCAGTGAAATCGCTCCTTTGTTGAAGAAATGAAATTCTTTAGCTCAGAGCAAGAGCAATGAGGGTGAAGGAAAATCCTGGTCAAAGAGTGATCTAGTGAACCCCACAGACCATGCACACAGACCTGCCCAAACCTCAATTATGGAGCCTAGCAAGCCAATAAGGAGATGTAGGCCAACAGTGAGGAGGCTAATTTCAGCTGGACTCAGCAGATAACGCGGCTGCCCACCAAAGACAGGATTGGCATATTCAGGGAGTATCACTGATATATATTTTCAATTTAAAAATGCCTGCAAAGTTAGCCCAGTTGCTCTTGTGAGCTTTCACAGCCCTCAATTCTCTCCTGCCACTGAGACCACAGCTATCATCTCCCTGTGAATATAGTCTTTAAAATTGAACAAAGTTTGGGAGTTTCAGCAACCTACCGAAGATTTTGTTTTTAATATATAGCTGTACAGGGAAGCTTCATGAGGACAAGAAGCTGCATCCAACTCTATTCAATAATTCTCTACTAAACCCTTTCAACTGTCTCAGACTGAGAGAAAGAAATCAGTCATGACATTTGCCTGCTAGAAGCCTGAGTGGCATACTACTAAACCTGAAATACATTTAATAAAAGTCAGCCCGACATCTTGGTACTCACAAGGAGAAAAAGTTCAGATAGGAGAAACGTGCACAGTGGTCTTGATCTCTAGCAGCTGGGGGCTTAGAAAGAAGCTGCTAGTGCCGTAACTACTCATAAACTCTTTAGTAGCAGGCAATAAACAAAAACTCCTGGTAGCCCGGGACCTGTTGGACTTTTACCTAAAATAATGGGTGAAGGGGCTGACGGAAGCCTGAGGGTAGGGGGCATCAGACCCCTGAGCTCTGCTGTGGGATATAACTCTCAAAGAAAATGCTGAGGGCCTGAGGATGGGCAGGGGGCAGGGAGGGTGGGAGCAAAGTAGACCACTGCTCTGAGCCCTGGTGATTCAAAGGGTCTGGGACTCCCATTGCTGAAGCCCTGTGCAGCGTGTGGTAGAGCCCTGGGCAGCATGCTCTGGGTAGCATGGAGGGGAGGAGTGGAGTGGTATGGGCAGTACTGAGCGCTGGCTGCCCTGGTCCCGCCCTTTCTGGGAGTGTGGAGCTGGGGCCCCCCTCCCCAGGAACCCAGCAAATCTGTCAGCTTATCTGGGCAGGTCATAACCAGTGTTCCCTCTAAGATTTTCCATCCATGTGTGGAGTGAGTTTTGTCTTGTGCACAATATTGAGGTCATGTGTGCTTGTTCAGATGGGTGCCACTGAGGCACCCAAGTTATTAACAAATATCAGATAGATAGATAGATAGATAGATAGATAGATAGATAGATAGATAGATAGATAGATAGATAGATAGATAGATAGATAGATAGATAGATAGATAGATAGATAGATAGATAGATAGATAGATAGATAGATAGATAGATAGATAGATAGATAGATAGATAGATAGATAGATAGATAGATAGATTAAAACGTTATGGAAGTGAGAACACCAAAACAAGGGATAATTAACCAGGTACATGACTTTAAATGTTTATTTAATAGGAAGTCAACTAAAAAGAAAATGCTGCAAAATTTTCAGTGGTCAACATCCTCTGTTTATAGCCCTCTCCCAGACCCTCCCCAAGCTACATGTAGCAGATGATCGCCCTTCCAGTCCAAATGATTCTAGAATTACTGTCAGAATTCAAAACACCACAAAGATGTTAGAGGGTTTGCGAGCAACATCAGATGGATGAGATCCAGCAGAAAAGTTAGAACTACAGCGTGTCTCAACTTTTATTAGGATACCAAGGCATGGCCACAGTGCATCAAAGCAAGGATGCTGAAAGAGTAAGATGAATCTAAGCCCCCTTTGTGCCTCCTGTATTTTCCATCTTGCCAGAAGCAAGTCCAGCTGCTGTTGGATGTTAGATTAGCCTCGAGGCTGCTCTAAGTCTGTACTGACCACAGTTCAATAGAAGTCATAGGAAACCAAGAATAAGCACAATGCAGCACTGCTCTAGTTTTCCTCCAGAATGCCCCTATCTTGGGAGCTTTATTCGGGGGCGGGAGGGGGAGGGAGGACAGACAGAGTCATTTCATTGGCTGTAAACAAGATAAGGATCCCCCTACCTACAGTAGGGGTAACACCCAAGTACAGAAGCGAGATCACTGCCTTTAGGGTACCACTGGAGTGCAATATGGCCACACTGAATAATGCTGCACAAATAGCATGGACCCCCACTGGCACAGCCAGGCAGAATCCGGGGCATGGTGCTCCTTTCCCCACTCTGCAGTGGTGAAGGGAGCCTGTGGCACACTGCTGTGGGAGTCAACACCCCGGCCTGCCCCCTGGCTGGGTCCCTGCCCAGGTTACCCTCCACCCAGTGTCTGAGCCATGTTGTTGCTGTCTACACAGGGCAGCAGAGCAGCAACAGGATAAGTGGCAGGTAGCGCTGTGTGGGCTGCAATGGGCTCAGGGGGCTGAGCAGGGCTGACATGCGCCTTCCCTCAGAAAGGCTCCTCCCACCCCCAAGGCAGACGGGAAAGGCAACTCACTCGAGGGCTGGGATGAAGTGTCTCCAGCGCCACTCCGCCGGTGATGATGGCAGAAGATATGCAGCCTGATCCCCCACCATCACAGCAGCTCCCTGGCACCCCCCCCCCCCCCACCCTCCCCCACACCC